GGGAGCGTCGCGCGCCCAGCGCCAGCGGGCTGCGGATCCCGGATGAGGTCAGCCTCGTCCGACGGGGCCGCTCGCTTTTGCAGCTACAATGGGGATTACGCACACGCCAGTTATGCGAGAAGAACGCGAAGGCGAGCGCGCGGAGGTTGGGATTGAGCAGATTTAGAGCTGCCGATGCAAATTCGAGTTAACTCCGTCCTGCTTGCGCTTCGCAAGGCTGTTCCTAACAACGCACGACCTTTTTCACCCTCTAAGATGTCATTTCTGCTGATGTGGGATGGGAAAGGTCTCCTGAGGGACCTCCCGATGTGCTGGAACACGCACGGGCTCGGCGAGGTTGCAGCCTGCAGGAAGCACCGGCGTTTTGTGGATTAAAGGGTGGCTCTCCTGGAAAACTCGACTCAGTTCTTGCCTTGGTCACAAGCTTCCAGGGAGATCCTGAAGTCACTTCAACCACATTTAACTCACGTGGTCGGGATCTGCCTGTCCCTCGCTCACTGCTGGCCACAGGGACGCGGACAGAATTAGATTTACAGGCGCTGAGCAACCACAACTGCAGCTAATGGGAGCTCTGCTTTGGAAACAAACAAGTGCAACTCATGACAGACTGCGATTTTAGGACTCCAGCTTCATATCTCAAAGCGAGCACAAAATAAAAACCCAGAAAACCTATAATTTACAGGCTCAGTTCCCCATCTGCACACTCAAGAGATACTATGCAGAAAGATGTCCAAAGCTGAGACGTTTTAAAGCAGAAACTTGTGAGTTTGCGCTACCAAGTTTGGGGGACTGAAGCTCCCGGCTCTTCCCTCGTTTCATACAGCCCTGAGCATGATGATAAAACTTGACCAGGGACTTCTCAGGAAGCTCCTGCATGAAGGGAAGGGCATTTTACAAGCTAAAGGACAACAAGAAAAGCAAGTCTAGGATCTTCCTGCCACATCCCCATCCTGCCTGCCCCAGCAGGCCGCCCGATCTGCAATAAATGCATCCCAAACGCGGGGAGGTTTCGCTGAGCACAGGCTGCGATGCCACCTCTGCTGGGCAAGGAGCCCTCGCGACGGCCCCGAGGACTCGGCCAGCGCTGCCCGGCTGCCCTGGCCATGGATGGGGGAAATCTGGAGATCTGGGAAACGGCCGCTCCGAGCGGTGCCGCGCCAAGGAGCTTCTCGGGTGTGGAGCGAGCAACTCCCCGCTGAAACCACGGGCGCAAAGCCACAGCGCGCAGCAAAACCCTTGCAGGAAGCTGAACATCCGAGCCCCGATATTAGAAAACAGGATCTCGGTGCTCCAAGGACTTGCAGGGAGCTGGAGCCTCGGGTCCCCACGCGCAGCACGGCCTGCGCACGGATTCCTCGAGCCCCTCTGCCTCGGGACTCAGCCCAGAGCAACCAAAGAGCATTAACCTCCTGCCTTCGCTAACAAGCACACGGCTCCATGCTTTTACGCCAAATTCCTCTTCTCCCCCGTGATTTGAGGTGGGATTGGCACGACCGTCAAGTTCCCCACTGCTACCGGGGCTGCACCATTCCCAGCGCTGCCCGTGCGCAGGGAAAAGCGGCAGAATTCCCGGGAGCTGCCCCTTCCCTTCCCGCTACGCCGCCTCCCGGGAAAGCCGCGCTCCCCTGCAGCCCGCGCCGCTACATTTCCTGCAGGGATTTGGAAACCTGCTGCAGTTCCAAGGCGAGCTTCGGTTTCACTGTGACCAGCAGCTCGGAGACTCAGAGTTACTATACAGCCGAATAAAATATTTTTTCATAAATTTAACGCCAGCATGTCTGTGTTTGGAAACTTTGAAAATCCATGTTGTATGGTTTACTGCACTGGAAAAGGTGCCAGCAGAGTTTCAAAGGAAGGGAAGTGTATAACTGTTTCCTTTCAAATGCATTTTCCAATGGGATCCATTGAGGGAAAAGGCTGGAACTAACTAAAACATTATTAAAAACTGTTATGAAAAGAGACAGAGAGATGGAAAAAGATAGACAAAAAGTCCAATACACAGCCGAGAGGGAGGGAGGGAGACGGGCGGCGAGAAAGGGGATATGGGCAGAAAGACACTTTGGGTGGGGAAAATGGGGCGAGACGGGGAGTTTTATCTGGCAGCCCCCGCTGCTCGTGGTTTGGTCCCGTTGCGGATCGATTGATCGGTGTTTCGAGCGCTGCTGGCCCGGTGGCACCCGGCGAACCACAGAGCTGGCGGCGCGCGCGGCGCGCGCGAACTGCTGACCTTCGCTTTTCAAACCAAAAATATTCCTCGGGAAGCAGCCACACCGGGTTCCAGGCCGGGCTGCCAAGCGAAAACAAGCACTACTAACCTGAAGTAACACCCCGGAGCCTTGTCCCGAGCGAAAACCAGGGCTAGTAACCTGAAGCAGCTCCCCGGGCTGCTTCCAGCGGCGCTAACCTAGCGTGACATGTGCGCAGGGGCTCGGCTCCGCCGGCCGCACTCACTGGATCCGTTCGTTCACCAATCCCGGCACCGGCGCCGGCCGGGAGCGCGCGGGATGCGCGCGCATCATCCTGGATACCGAAAGGCTCCGGCGCCACACAAAATACCCAAATAATCAGTGCAGATCGGGCCCAAAAGCACTGCTCCGAGGCGCAGGAGGAACCCGTAGCTCTAAGCAAAGCAGGGGACCAAAACGGGCTGCAAAGACGCTCTGTGCAGTACCTAAGTGACCCGAGGAGGCGGCCGGGCTTGGAGCGGAGCCAGGAATCGGGCTGGGAGCGGAGCCGGGACCCGCGGGCTCTGCCCGGCTCCAAAGGACCAGGCTGGGGGCGGGCAGCGGCTGGCGCGAGCCCCGGGCCCGCGGTCCCGCGGGGTGCGGGAGCCGTGGGCTGCAGCGCACATGTCGAGGGATGAGGGGAAAAAAATAAACAGACAGACAAAAGAATGAGGATGCTCTGCCAATTCCAATTGTGCTGCTTTTATTTCAAATGCTTATCAAGCTGAGAAAGAGCAGAGTTCTTGGAAAACAAGGTTTCCTTTCTTCCAATGCCAGTGGCAAACACCCTCAAGGACGGGCACCGCGCGCGGGCTCGCAGCTAACGGCCCTGCAGCTCTGGGTAAAAAGAGTGCTGTGATTTATTTATTTTTTATTTTTCTTATTAATCTCCAATCTGGCCGGGTTCAAATTATGGCCAATTAC